GTAGTAGTCGTCGTCGTAGTAGCAGTATTGAAAGTAGTAGTAGTAGTAGTAGTAGTAGTAATAGTAGTAGTAGTAGTAGTAGTCGTAGTAGTAGTAGTAGTAGCAGTAGTCGTAGTAGTAGTAGTAGTAGTCGTAGATGTAGTCATAGTAGTAGTAGGAGCAGTAGTAGTAGTAGTAGTAGTAGTAGTAGTAGTAGTAGTAGTCGTGGTAGTAGTAGTAGTAGTAGTAGTAGTAGTAATAGTAGTAGTAGTAGTAGTAGTAGTAGTAGTCGTATTCCTGGTAGTAGTAGTAGTAGTAGTAGTAGTAGTAGTAGTAGTAGTAGTAATACTAGTAGTAGGTGTCCCCATACTACAAGTATTAGTAATAGTACTAGTAGTAGGGGATGTAGTAGTAGTACTAGTAGTAGGGGATGTAGTAGTAGTGTAATAGGAGTAGCAGTAGTAGTAGTAGTAGTAGTAGTAGTAGTAGTAGTAGTAGTAGTAGTAGTAGTAGTAGTAGTAATAGTAATAGTAGTAGTAATAGTAGCAGAAGTAGTAGTAGTAGTAGTAGTAGTAGTAGTAGTCGTAGTCGTAGTCGTAGTAGTAGTAGTAGTATTCGTTAGTATAGTAGTAGTAGTAGTATTAGTAGTAGTAGTATTAGTAGTCGTAGTAGTAAGTAACTCGTAGTAGTAGTAGTAGTAGTATAGTAGTAGTAGTAGTATGTATAGGTATTAGTAGTAGTAGTCGTATAATAGTAGTAGTATAGTTTTCACAAGTAAATAGAGTAGTCGTAGGAAGTCGTAAAAGTAGTCAGTAGTAGTATCATATTAGTAGTAGTAGAAGTAGTACTAAGACAAGTAAGTTAGCAGTAGAAGTAGTAGAAGTAGTAGTAGTAGTAGTAGTAGTAGTAGTAGTAGTAGTCGTCGTCCTAGTAGTCCGAGTACTTGTAGTCGCACTCGTAGTCGTATGGGCCAGTAGTGATATCATTCATAATAGTCGTAGTTATAAGTGCGGCCGTGGTGGTAGCGATAATGATAACATGAGAAGGGTCGCGCCTCGCGTATGGCTGGTTGGCTCTCGCGCGTGGCTGGTTGGTATGGGGAGACCGAGCATTGAACTTGTAGGCGTAGCGTGTCATTGATGGCCAGCGCCACGGGTTCCATGGAGATTTCCACTGGGTTATTCGGTGACCCTTCGCCTTTTCCATCTTGCTCCGCAGGGGCCCATCTGAGTCTCATAGGCGCCGTTCGAGTTTTCAGGGAGGCCCGGGCAGTCCCCATAGAACCTGCGGGATCTTGAATGGCGTCTCTCATCTATGAAAAACCTGGGGATTCTTCTACTCACGTTGTCTTTGATTGGAACTTCGGGAACTACTCAAAACAAATGATTGGACATTTAAATGTTCAATTGGTCGTCCAATACTGCGTGAATAGGCGTGACTCCGGATCAATTTGATTGCCGCTGGCATTGCGCCAGCAGAAACTCAACGTGAACGGTGCCTATCCCACGGCGCCGCAGGCCCGTTGCGCCTCGCTTCGCCGTTCCATTGGCGCTCGCCACTCTCGCTCTCCAGCTCTCCTTGGACGCGCTGGCCGCGGTCCGTGCAGCCGCAGTCGGCTCCTCCTTCAGATGTCTCCACCGGTCCCCGCTGCGCCTGCTCCCTCTCCGCGCGCGGATCCGCCGCCGCGCTTCCCGGAGCGGCGCGGGCGCGGCGCGCGCGCGCGTCGGCTCTGACTTCTCCCCGACGGCGCCCTCATCGCCGCCCGCTGTTATCTCGACCGCGACGCCTTCCTCCTGGCCCCTGCTCCCCCGCGCCGTGGCCCGCGACGCCCCCTCGCCGCCCCCCCCCCCGCGGGCGCGGTTGCGAGCGCGGCGCGCGCGCCGCGGGGGCGCGCGCTCCTTGCCCGCCCCCCTGGCCCGCCCGCGCGTGCGCGCTTCGTCTGGGGCCGTCGCCGACCCGACCAGCCCTGCGGGCGGCGGTGGTCTGGACGCCCTTCCCCCCCCTCCTGTAGGGATTGATCCCGCGGGGTCTAGACGGGGCGCTTTGCGAGGGGGCATGGCGTCTAAGATGGGCCCAATGTGATGGCTCCAATGTGGCCCCCCGAGACTCCTGGATGACTTCCAGCGAGGCTCAAGATCCGAAGATGGGGCCAGGCGACTGCCGGCGCGCCTCCAAAAGGCTCGCAGGTCGCTCCAGTGCTGCCTCGACTTCCCCAGAGGCCTGCCGAAAATGCCCCCCCTCTGGAGACCGCATCTGGACTTTGTAGCGCACTCGCCTGCCCGGCCCGGATCGCCTTGCGGCGCCCCGGGATGGCTCCAACATGCCCCGGGCAGAGCCCAGAGGCAGGCCCACTTCGTCTCGAGGCGACCCCCGCGAAACCCGAAGGCAGCCAGAACGGTTCCAAGGGGCGCCCGCTCTAGTCCCCGCGGCCTCAGCGAAGGCAGCGAACTGGGGGCGGCGCGGGCATCTGGGGGCCAGGGGCAAAGGAGGAACAGCGCCGCCTCGCTCACCGAGTTCTGGAGGTCGCAGGCTGCCCGCGTCTAGCCAAAGACGTCGAGAATCTCAGCGATGACCACCTCTTCGCTTCGGCCTTCCACTGGGCTTCGAGCGCCGCGCCATACACGAAAACGTCGTGCGATTGTTCGCGGGGTGGACGCGCTGGGCACACAGTGACGCCGCCGTCATGGCGGCCGCGTCCTGCTCGAGCAGAGGGCTGTTGAGGTGTTGGGTGCACGTGCCGGCGATCGAGCGCACCCTGGCCGCCATGATCCTGGCCTCGTGGCCAGCCTACCGCCGCAAGCACCGCGGCGGCCGCTGCCATGCGCCAGTCGCAAAGCCTCCCGCCAGGCACGCGAGCTTTGGTTGAACTCCCGCGCGACGGTACAGTCGGGGCACTGAGGAAGGAACCCTTTTCGTTGGGGAGGGGCTCAGTGTTCCTTAGTTATTTTGCAATTCGCCTTTGGTTTTGCTTAGGGCTTCGATGGGAAATCGAAGTTAAACTTATGCGAAAAAGAGGCCTCGTTCCTTATTCAGGGTTCCTTAGGTCAACGCCCCTTCTGTATACTTTGCCTCCCCATGCAGAACATCAGAGAGGTGCCGCGCCTGGCCGCCCCCTTGGCGCACGACGGGCTGCGCCGCCGGGGGACTCGCGGGCAATCGACGGGCCTTCAGTGACCCAACGGAGTATAGCGCCCCGCAGCCTTGGTGCACGCCGGTGCAGGCGCTCCCCGGCTCCGCCAGCGCCGCCGCCGCCGCCGCCTCTCTCCCTGCGGAAGTGCCGCTCGAAACCCCTCGCATGGACGCGCCCGGCGGAACCGGTCACTGGCACCCGAAAGCGTCGACGCCCGGGAGCACAGGAAATGCACGACGCCGCAAGACGGCTCACTGTGGCCCCAGGATGGCCCGACCTGGCCTCGAGACGGCCCAAGAGGCCCCTGCTGCGACACAGCAGGAACTCCCAGAGCCGTGGCCTTGTCGGAGCTCTGAGGCTGAAGACGGCCCAGCAGGACACCGCGACGGCCCCAGAGACCACCGAGCGGGCCACCGAGAGCTCGACAGGACCACAACATGGCGCATGACCCCAAAAGACGGCACCGAGAGGCTCGCAACGCAGCCAAGCAGAACTCGAGGCTGCGAGGGGGCAACACACAACATCCTCACACCAAGCCCGCACATCACACACGAGCGAATCAAGTCATTCCAACGGGACACATTGAAATACAAGTTATGCAATATAGTTAGACAAAGAGAAACGCTTGCCAGTACGTACTATACACCACATATGTCTGACAACGCGCGCAAACGGTTAATATTAATCACGCACGTGCGAAAGTCACACTGCAACATCATATCGACGCACATTACTCGATTTAACGAAAGGTCCACGGCGTGAAACTAAGTGATACCAAACTAACACAGCACAGCCATATGTCTCAAACCAGTACATGCAATGACAGCCAAGTGTGGCAGCTATTATAAAACATGCAAGCAACACGTACACCAAAATACATTTAACTGGAAACAACGAGAACGACACATCATCGGTTTGATACTTCCGAGAAGCGTAAGCCCACTCCACACCAATGTGACACACTTTTCTATGCAAGTGCATCCGCTGCGGATTAATTAACTGTACAACGCCTACTCCACAACCAAGCCCCACTGGCCATACTTGACGCGTGTTTGTGGTAGCATTACTGGTAGTTGAATGAGTCGTCACATGAACACTCGTATCATGACGATGATCAGTAGCGGAAGTGGGGGAGGAGCAGCAGCAGGATCATCATTAGCATGCGATGCATGGAGCAGGGGCAGTCCCATATGCAGTGGCGTGAACAACATGGGATGGAGGACGAGAAGGAGAAGCATGAGGATCAGGAGGGAGCCATCAAACCAAAATCAGTACGCATCGCTGGTGCTGCAACACGTACTACCATCGCAAACCCCTGTCTCAAAACTACCGTCGGTGACTCCTGTGTACTTCGGCGAGCGCCCGCTGGTAGCGCGAGGTTCTTAGGTGGCCAGCCGCATGCTCAAGGTCCCGAAGGGCTGGACTGGCGACCATCCCGCGGCCCGTGCCGCACGCTCGGGGCCAGAGAGGGCGGGGGTGGCCAGAACGGCATGGCCCTGCCACGCGGGGTGGGCCTGGCGAGAACCGCACCCTCTGCAAGTGCGACCCAACGGAGGGACCGTCGACTCCGTGCGCCGAGGGGCTGCGCTTGCCGAGAGGGTGTCGTCCTCCATCCCCCGTGGCTGCAGCGCGCTTCGCAGAGGAGTGCCAATCGCCGCAGATGCTGCGAAGCGGCCGCCCTCCCGCGCCGAACGCCCAGTCGGACCTGCTGGGACGTCGGGCGGCACGACGACGACCAGGTAATTGTCAATCCAGAAGAGTGGCGGGGGATGAGGAGGAGGAGGAGGAGGAGGAGGAGGAGGAGGAGGAGGAACATTCTGAGGATGAGGAGGAGGAGGAGAGGAGGAGGAGGAGGAGGAGGAGGAGGAGGAACGCCGCAGGGGCGAGAAACTGCCGAGGCGCTCGGAGAGGCCCTTGACCATGCTAGGGTACTCGGACTCGTCGAACTCGGGCCTCAGGCAGGAGGCGGGGGCATTGGAGAGAAGGTGACAGGTGGCAGCGGGGGGTGATCGGGGGACGTCGAATCTCCACCATGATCCTGGCCAGGCCAACCGGATTAAGGCTCAATTGGGTACGCATCGTAGCCTGCAGTGTAGGATTGGACACAGGCACCCGTGTGAGCATAGGTGTCCTTGAGACCCTGAGCTTGGGCACCCCTGCCAACGGTCAAGATCGTTGCCTCCTAGGGCAGGCGCACCTCCTCGTAATAATATCCTCGATGCTCCTTCGGCTGAAGCTGCTGTGGCGACGGCTACTTTACTTCGGTCACGCGCGCTGCTTCATTCAAATCGGATCTCCCTCATCTTCTGCCTTCTCGCGGATCCCGGTTTTCCGTCCCTCCTACAACAACCAGCACGCGCGCCACGTACTCTTTCGCCGGGCACTCGCGGCTGGCGGTGCCGCGCACCCAAATGATGCGGGGAGCAAGTCGGAGCCGTTTCCAGGGATTCTTACTGCGCTTGCGTAGTCGTTGGACGGCGCCGCGTGCGCTGGCTGGGCGTGGCGCGGTTTCGCCTGGTGCCCGCCTCGTGGGCGCCTTGTGCGCTGGCGGGGCGTGGCGAAGTTTCGCCTGGTGCCCGCCCGTGGGCGCCTCGTTCGCTGGGTGGGTGTGGCGAAGTTTGCCTTGGTGTCCGCGCGTGGCCTCCCGAGGCCGCCTCGCGGGTACATCGTGCGCTGGGCGCGTGTGGCGAAGTTCCGCCGGGTGTCCGCCCGTGGCCGCCTCGCGGGCGCTTCGTGCCCAGGGCGGCCGCATAGCTTTCATCGCATCGCTTGCACTGGGTAGCTTGTACCACCCAGCTTGCACCGCGAAGCTTCCTTCACACCGCGCATATCCAGATCTTGCTCTATATCTAATATGAATACTTTGCACCGCGTAGCTTACACCACATCAGTTGCAACACATTGCTTGCACCGCGTAGCTTAAGTGACACATCTTGCACCGCATAGCTTGCACCACAGGGCTGGCACACCATAGTTTCCATCGCATAGCTCTCACCACATAGGAGTGAGCCACATGGCTTGCGAAACGTATCTTGCACCACGTCGCCTACATAGCCACGGTGCAATACTGTCCTCTTTGATGCCCAAGCTGGCAAACTTTATGTTTACACATTTGCATCTGCGACCATGTTGATGATTGAAGTGGGCAGCACTCTTTTGGCCACGAGTTTGTTCTGTGATAGACAATTGCTCCTGGGAGCGCGCGGTTGTCCCTCCCCCACGACCCCCCCCAAACATATCCTCTGACTCCGCTCTGGGTGCTTGTTCTGGGTGTACAGCGTCGCCACGGCCATCGTCGGCGTGGTGGTGGTGGTCGCCGTCATCGTCGTCGTCGTCATCGTCGCCGTCTCGGTCGTTATCGCCCGTCGTTGTCGCCGTCGCCCGTCGTCATCGTCGTCCTCGTCGTCGTCGTCGTCGTCGTCGTCGTCGTCGTCGTCGTCGTCGTCGTCCGTCGTCGACGACGTCGTCGTCGTCCTCGTCCTCGTCCTGGTGCGTCGTCGTCGTCGTCGTCGTCGCAGTAGTCGTCGCCGGCCGTCGTCGTTGTCGTCGTCGTCGTCGTCGTCGTCGTCGTCGTCGTCGTCGTTGTCGCCCGTCGTCGTCGCGGTCATCGTTGTTGTCGTCGTCGTCGTCGTCGCCGTCGTCGTCGTATCATCACTCCTTGTCATCGTGACCGTGGTCGTCGTCGTCGTCCGTCGTCGTCCGTCGTCGTCCGTCGTCGTCCGTCGTCGTCGTCGTCGTCGTCGTCGTCGTCGTCGTCGTCGTCGTCGTCAGGCGTCGTCGTCGTCGTCGGCCGTCGTCCTCGTCGTCGTCGTCGTCGTGATCCGTCGTTGTCGCCCATCATCGTCGTCGTCGTCTATCGTCGTCGTCGTCGTCGCCGTCTATCGTCATCGTCGTCGTCGTCGTCGTCGAAGCCCTCGTCGTTATCGTCGCCGTCGTCGTCATCCGTCGCCGTCATCGTCGTCGTCATCATCGCCCGTCGGCGTCGTCGTCCGTCGTCGTCGTCGTCGTGGTCCGTCGTCCGTCGTCGTCGTCGTCGTCGTCGTCGTCGTCGTCGTCGTCGTCGTCGTTGTCGCCCGTCGTCGTCGTCGTCGTCGTGCCGTCGTCGTCGTCGTCGGTCGTCGTCGTCGTCGTCCGTCGTCGTCGTCGTCATCGTATCCGTCGCAGTCGTCGTCGTCGTCGTCGTCGTCGTCGTCGTCGTCGTCGCCGTGGTCGTCGTCGTCGTTGTCGACGTCGTCCATCGTCGTCGTCGTTGCCAATTGCCGTCACCGTCATCGTTGTCGTCGTCGTTGTCTTCGTCGTTCGTTGTCGTCGTCGTCGTCGTCGTCCGTCGTCGTCGTCGTCGTCGTTGTCATCGTTCGTCGTCGTCGTCGTCGTCGTCGCCGTCGTCGTTGTCGTCGTCCGTCGGCGCCGTCATCGTCGTCGTCCGTCGTCGTCGTCTTCGTCGTCGATGTCGCCGATCGTCGTCGTCGTCGTCGTCGTCGTCGTCGTCGTCGTCGTCCGTCGTCGTCGTCGTCGCAGTCGTCGTCCGCCGTCGTCGTTGTCGTCGTCCGTCGTCGTCGGTCGTCGTCGTCGTCGGTCGTCGTCGTCGCCAGGCGTCGTCGTCGTCGTCTGTCGTCCCTCGTCTGACGCCGTCCGTCGTCGCCGTCGTCGTCGTCGTCGTCGACGTCGTCGTCGTCGCCGTCCGTCGTCGTCGTCGTTGTCGTCGTCGTCGTCGTCGCTCTCCGTCGTAGTCGCCATTGTCCGTCGTCGTCGTCGTCGTCCGACGTAGTCGTCGTTGTGCAGTGGTTTTCGTTGTCGTCGTCGTAGTCGTCGCGTCGTCGTCCGTCGTCGTCGTCGTCGTCGTCGTCGTCGTCGTCGTCGTCGTCGTCGTCGTCGGCGTCCGTCGCCGCCGTCATCATCGTCGTCCGTCTTCGTCGTCGCCGTGGTCATCGTCGTCGTCGTAGAGGACCTCGTCGTCGTCGTCGTGCCGTAGTCGTCGTCGTCGGTCGTCGTCGTCGTCGTCGGTCGTCGTCGTCGTCGCCGTCGTCGTCGTCGTCGTCGTCATCGCAGTCGTCGTCGTTGTCGTCGTCGTCGTCGTCGTTGTCCGCGTCGTCAGCGTCGTTGTCGTCGTCCGTCGTCGTCGTCGTCGTCCGTCGTTGTCGTCGTCGTGGTCGTCGTCGTCGTCGGCCTTGTCCTCGTCGTCGTCGTCGTCGACGCCCGTCGTCGTCGCCGTATTCGTCGTCGTCGTCGTCGCCCGTCGTCGTCGTCGTCACCGTCGCCGTCGTCCGTCGTCGTCGTCGTCGTCGTCGTCCGTCGTTGTCGTCGTCGTCATCGTCGTCGCCCGTCGTCGTCGTCGTCGTCGCCGTCATCGTCGTTGTCGTTTTCCGTCGTCGTCCGTCCTCGTCGTCGTCGTCGTCGTCGTCGCCGTCGTCGTCGTCGTCGTCGTCGTCGTCGTCGTCGTCGTCGGCGTCTGCGTCGTCGTCGTCGTCGGTCGTCGTCCGTCGTCGTCCGTCGTCGTCGTCGTCGTCGTCGTCGTCGTCGTCGTCGTCGCCGTGGTCATCGTCGTCGTCGTCGTCGTCGCCCGTCGTCGTCCGTCGTCGTCGTCGTCGTCGTCGTCGTCGTCGTCGTCGTCGTCGCCGTGGTCGTCATCGGCGTCGTCGACGTTGGCGCGGTCATCAGCATGGTCTTTGCCGCCGTCGGCGTGGTCGCCGCCGCCGCTGGCGTGGTGTTCGCCGCCGTCGCTGCAGCAGTCGCCGCCGCCGTCGCGGGGGCCTCCTGCCCCGGATGGGCCGCTTCACCTCGAAGACGTCGGCCACGATGTCGCTGCACCGGTCCAAGTCGCCCAGGTCCTCCGAGGAAGGCGCGCGCGCCGCCGCCGCGCCCCGCCGACGAGGGGGAACACTAAGGGGATGGCTGGCTCAGGGGGGGGAAGGCGTCGAGCATCGCCGATGGATCGGCGGTAGGCCCCGGGTACCGAAGCCGCGCGCTCCCGGGCGGGGCGGGCTATCGGGCCCCTGTCGGCCACGAGTGGGCGATGTAGGGAGCCCACAGGGAAGGACGCACGCGCCCAGCCGCGCACAGGAGCACGGCCCCCCAGTCCGCGAGACCAGCCACGTGGCACGAGCGTTCGCGCAATGAGTCCTCTGGAAACCAGCGGGGGTTCATGCACGTGTGCGTCCTTCACAGACCCCCGACGTCGTGATTTGTCTCCCAACGTCGACCCGCAGAGGTCTGGACCCCTTCCCTGGGACCGGGTTTTCATCCTGAGTCGTTTTTTGGCGGTCCCGAGGTCTGGCAAGGGCCCCCAGAGGCCGAGAATAGCGAAAAACCTTCCGTCGTGTTTTTTTCACATCGCGAGGGGGTCTGGGTTCTTCCTTGGCGGCGCGAGACAGGGGGCAGGGGGAGGGGGGAAGGCTTCTCAGAAGCAGCCTGCTTCCTGGAAGGCCCCGGCCTTGCGTCTATCAGTAGAGACGGCCCGCGCCTCCTGAGACGCAGGGGTGCTTCTGAGAAGCCTTCCCCCGTCCCCCTGGCCCCCCCCCCCGCCCTGCGCGTGGCCGACTTCCGCCCCTGACGGCTGGGGCGTCGATGCGCCCCCCCCCCCTCGAAGCCCATCGCCTGGAGGCCTGTTGGGGCCATGCCTCGGGCGTCACGCGGCCGTCCTGGGGGGGGGGATCTCCAAGGGCCCCCCGGGCGCCTCCTCTCGGCGCAGCGCAGCCGCTGGAGCGCGCACACCGAGGGGGGGAGGCCGCCGAGAACCCACGGAGGCGCCCGAAAACCTCGAACCCTGAGATCCTGGCGGCTCGGTTTCTGTTCGAGCCGGGCGACTTCGCTCCACTCGCAGACCCCCATCGCGCTGTGACAAAAAAAAACACGACGGGAGGCATTTCGCTATTTTCGGCCTCCGGGGGCCCCTGCCAGGTCTCGGGACAGTCAAGAAACGACTCAGGATGAAAAAACGGTCTCGGGGAATGGGTCGAAACCTCGGGGGGCCGACGTCGTGACGTCGGGGGTCTGGGTTTCGCGCCCCAGGGGCCTTCGCAGGTCGCTCTGGCTCGCAAGAGGCTGCAGCAGGACGGGGTCAGGGGGGGGGTCCAGGCGCGATTCTTGGTTTGGGTTGTTGTTTCTTCTTTTCTGCTCGTTGCGGTGCGCATTTTTTTGTTGCCACGTCGGATCTCGGGGTCGAAGCCTCCGCCCCCCTGAGCTTGTGCTCCCCCTGGCATCGTCCCTCAGAGGGTCGGCGGCGCGCACAGAAGGGGGTACGGGGGAGGGGGGAGGGCTTCTCAGGAGGCTGCTTCTTTTCTTAGGGACGGCGCCGGCCCTGCATCTGCGGAGGGGGCCCGGCCCTCTGAGACGCAGGGTGATTGTGCCTCTGAGAAGCCCCTCCCCCCTCCCTCCCTCCCCTCCTGCCTCCTCCTCCTCCGCCTCCTCCTCCTCCTCTCCTCCTCCTCCTCCTCCTCCTGCTCCTGCTCCTCCTCCTGCTCCTCCCTGCTCCTCCTCCTCCTCCTCCTCCTCCTCCTCCCCTCCTCCTCGCCCCTCCTCCCCCTCCTCCCCCTCCTCCTCCTCCCCCCGCCCCCCCTCTGCTCGTGGCCGCGATCCGGGCGTCGGGGGGGGCGCGATCAGTGCCGGCCGGCGGGCGGCGCCGCGGCGGGCGACTGCCCCCGCGGAGGCCTCCGCGATCGGAGCTCGGCGCGCGCGGGCGCACCGGCGGGCCGGGGGGCCCCGCGCGGGGCGGGGCGCTGCCCACCGCCCCACCGCCTGGGACCCAGACCCCCTCGAGCCATGAAGAAATCACGACGGGAGGTTTTCCATGATTTTTGGGCTCTGGGGGCCCTTACCGGCCCTCGGGACCGTCAAAAAACGACTCAGGACGAAAAACTGGTCCCAGGGAATCGGTCCAGACCGCTAGGGGTCGACGTCATGAAAAATTCATGACGTCGGGGGTCTGGGGAGCCGACGTCCTCGTGCCCCGGCGGGCGGTGGGCAGGGATGCCTTTTGGCCCCAGGGGGTCCGAACACGTCCCGATCCGGGGCCTGGGAGCCGACGTCCTCGTGCCCCAGCGGGCGGTGGAAGGGGTGCACTTTTCGGCCCCTGGGGGTCCGAACATGTTCTTATCCACCGCCTGGGAGCCGACGTCCTCGTGCCCCAGCGGGCCGTGGACAGGGATGCATTTTTTGGCCCCTGGGGGTCCGAACATGTCCCGATCCGGAGCCGACGTCCTCGTGCCCCAGCGGGCGGTGGACAGGGGTACATTTTGGCCCCTGGTGGTCCGAACATGTCCCTATCCACCGCCTGCCGAGGTCCCCGGAATGGATCCTCCAGGCGGTGGTCATGTATGAATTCCCGCCTCGGACCTCTGGAGCGATCGGTGCGGGAAGAGGGGGGCCCTCTCAAGGCGAAGCCAGGGCCTGGGCAACGTCGGACCGGGACAGAGCGGGGATTTCTGAGAGCCGGCGGTTCTGGAGGAGGTCTCGGGCGCCGCGGCCGTTCCAGGGCGCTGCGGGGCACCCACGCTCGGAGGGGACGGAAGGGTAGGATAGCAAAGGGTAGGCCAGAGAAGCAGCTCACGCAGCTGGTTTTCTTGGCGCGCCTCCTGGCCAGAAGAACCAGCTCCCAGAAGCCTCGGAGAGCCTCCGAGGAGCCATCGAGGTCGTCTCGTCCTCTCCCCGCCGCAGGGGCGCTGATCGGGCCCCTCTGAGCCCGGGTCGCACACCACCGCCTCGAGGCCCTCGACGGGCAGCCGCAGCTCATCCTATGGAAGCGCAAACTCCTGCATCTGCTTTTCCCTAATAGGCTCTGCCTGATGGGCGCCAATTTGTTTGTCGGAGTTCCTCGGGTTGCCCCGTTGCCCGGTCGCTTGGTGCTCCTCGGGGTTGCCGCATTGCCCGGTTGCGCAACGCAAAGCAACATGCCGAGCAACGCCAAGCTATGCTTCGCACTGCATTGCTGAGGTGTTTTGCATCGCCCTGGAAGAAAGAACACCTCTAATTAGGGTCGCTTGTGTTCACTCTTCCTGACCGTGATTGCGCCCGGCGCCCCCGACCTTCTATTGTTGTGTGTGTGTGTGTGTGTGTGTTTGTGTGTGTGTGTGCATCGCGATTCGCCCGTGGCTCGACTGGCCCGAACTCTGCATCTCAACCGCGGAGACCACTGACATCGGCTCCAGGGCGGACGACGATCTCAGCGATGCGCCCTCAGAAGCCGAGGTAGTGCTCAAGATCGGCATCGAGTGTTTTGTTTTGTCGTTTTTTTTTGTTATTTGTTTTTTTTTGTTGTTTTGCAATCTCTTTTTTTGTTACACTCCTTCGAGGCGATGCCCATCGTAGGGATCTGGATATGATCCAGGCTGGTAGGGGAGTGCGGGGCGTCCGGGCCTCCGCGGCTGCCCCGGCCGAGGGGGCGTCGCAGTGTCTCTGGCGGCGCGCGGAGGGGGGATGTTGAGGCGGAGGGGGGTGGCTTTCGAGGAGGGCCACGGGCTTCGTAGAAGTCCCCCTGCCTTCTGAGGGCTCGTCCTGGAGCCTCCTGGTCACTTCTGAGAAGCACCCCGCCTCCTTAGACCTCCCCCCCCCCCCGCCCCCGCCCAGATGCGCCCGCTCGGGACGGGTCCTTGGCCAACCTGGCCAGTTCTTGGAGCCGCGCCCAAGCGTGCCCACGAGGACCCCCGAGGAGGCTCAGGAAGACAACCCTGCGCTCGCCGCCGATAAGCTCTGTTGGCACGCCCGACATGGATACGCAAAGTACGGGTATGATGCCCAAGAGCACATGTTGTCCAAGACCGGCAGGGGCCGCTATCGAGCAGGCGCCTCTTTGCATCAGCATGGGCAGGCACCGACAGCGAGTCCTGTCCAACATCGACGGGAACTGCTATCGGGCTTCGTCCCCGTCCTTCGGTACCGATTTCGATCGTACCTGGGAGAGCAAGTTTTCCCGGCCAAGGGCCCAAGGCAGGGGGGACGACGGAGGGGCAGCTCCCCAATGGGGCCACGAAGCGTGTGAACGGTGCGCCAAGAACGGGTGCGCGGCAGCCGTGCGGACCCTGCCGCCGGGGCCTTCGATGGAGCTCCCCGTGGGGCCACGAGGTGTGTGAGGGGTGCGCCGACATGGGCCGGCGGAGGTCCCGATGGGGCCACGAATCGCGTGAGGGGTGTGCCGAGAACGGGTGCGCGGCAGCCGTGCGGGCCCTGCCGCTGGGGTCCTCGGTGGAGCGCCCCATGGGGCCACGAGGCGTGCGAGGGGTGTGCCGAACTCGGTGCGGGGCCGACATGCGGACCCTGCATGGACCTGCGGAAGGCAAATGCAGGAGTGGGAGGGGGGAGGGGGAGGAGGAAGGAGGAAGGAAGGAACGAGTAACGCAGGGCCCTGTCTTTTCAGAACACAGACCCAGCACCATAATATGGTCGGGTACGACTGCTGATGCCGCTGCTCCCCGGACCTTTCCTGGGGTGCGTTCTGAACAAGATTTCGAAGCGAGTCCAGCCGTGACGACGAGGGCCTCCAAGGAAGCCCGAAAAGGCGAACGCGAGGGCCGGGTAGTGGCGTCGAAAGACATCGACGCAGAATCGGCGACACATCGCCGAGAGATCGGCGACATGCCCCGGATTAGCAACGCGGCACGGCCCTGGGCGGTCCATCAGGCCCCCGTCAGCGATCCGTGGGGGCGATTGGGGGTCGATGCGTCCCCTGAGCCGATCCCCTATCCCGCAACTCGCCCCAGTGTCGCGCACATGAGGTCTGTGTTGGTTCCCAGTGGGAGTACATCCAGGAATCCAAAGAGGACAGCTGAACCTGCTGCGGCTCGGGAGCTGCTCGTGTCCTGGGAGGGCGCGTTGGAGTGAGCGAGACGGCTTGAGGGCGGGCAGGGTGTCTTGACCTCTCCCCCTGCCCCCTACCCCTAGGTCTGGATGGGTGAAGGGGGCCCTGGGACACACAATTAAATACACACAAATAACAGGATTCCCCTATACTTTACCACATGTTCTGGGTTTCTGTCTTCCCCCCACTTCCCAGATTTTCCCATATTCCCAGGGGGACGATCAACAGTGCCCGTGTCTTTTTTCCCCCTCCTGCATGGGGTGGGGACGGACGCTGAGGAGGAGGAGGAGGAGGAGGAGGAGGAGGAGGAGAAGGAGGAGGAGGAGGAGGAGGGAGGAGGAGGGAGGGAGGAGGAGGAAGGAGGAGGAGGAATGAGGAGGAGGAGGAAGGAGGAGGAGTGAGAAGGGTGTGAGAGAAGGAGAGAGGAGTAAAGGAGAAGGAGAAGGAGAAGGAGAAGGAGAAGGAGAATGAGGAGAGGATGAGGAGGAGGAGGAGGAGAGGAGGAGGAGGGGGAAGGAGGAGAAAGGTTTCTGGGGTCCAACGAGCCCTCCCACTCGGCCGCGCCCGGCGGCAGCAGCTCCGACAAGCCTCGCCGCCTCCCAAAAAGCGCCGGCGCCCGCGGCGCCGCTCGCGCGAGGCGCGTGCGGGCGGCGCGGGCGCGCCGCGGCGGCGGCGGGGCAGCGCCGCGAGGCGCCGCGGCGAGCGCGGCGGAAAAAAAAGGGGCCGCCGCCGAGGGGGTTGCCGCGCCGGCCCGCCCCTCGGGGGCCCCCCGCGGCCGCCGCCCGCGGCTGCCGGAGCCCTCGGGGCCGCCCAGGAGCGCCGTCAAGCGGCGCGCATGGTTGGGCACCCGTGCGGACGACTGCGGCGGCGGCCCGACGGCGGCGGCGGCGGCCCGGCGGCGGCGGCCCGCCCCCGGGGTGCGCGCCGCCCCGCGGCTCTGCGCAGGGCTGCGGCGTGCCCTGCGTGCCACGCCTGCCTGGCCCGTGCACCTGCCCTGCCGATCGGACCGGCCGAGCACGCGGAGCCCAGCTGCGGCCAGCGCGCCCACGCAAGCCCGCGGACGGCCCGCCAGACCGAGTGCGTGCAGGCTGTGAGGCACACGCGACGAGAACCCTTGCGATCATGACTCTGGGGCCACACGCCTCGTCGACCCTGAGCTGCGCAGGGTGCCCTGGGGCTCTGTGGGCCCATCGGGAGGCAAGAAGTTATCGCAGGGGGACCCGCTGGCAGGCCGACTTCTTTGTCGAGGTGCTCACTGCGCCCCGGCCATCACCTCCGACCTCACGATCTTGTGTGGCGTGGGCCCCTGGGATCTCGACCCCTTCCTTTTGGGCTTTGTTTGTTCACCCCGGGCTGTTGTTGCTCGTTCGCGGCCTCTCGGGGCCCCAAGGCGGGCCCCAAGAGGCCCAAGACGAGGTCTCGGCTTTCTGTTGGACGCTGGGGTGTGACGGTGAGGGGCCGCCCGAGACCGACGAAGCGCGTGGACCTGAACAGTGATCTGCTGACCCGGGTCCCAGGTCCGTCAGGCCTTGCGGGATCCTGCAAGATCCTGCAGGCTCCTGCAGAATCCTGCACGCTAGCCCAGGTCAATGCAACCCTGGCTCTGCAAGATCCTGCAAGATCCGTCGCTCTGGTTGACCCCCCTTTGCACTGACCCCTCTCTCCTATATTGCATCCTCGGGGGACCTTGTCTGTCCCGTCGCGGCCCTATCCGCGTCGAATCCGTGTCGAATCCATGTCGGCCTCGTCAGGTCCGTATCGAATCCGTGTCGAATCCGCGTCGACTACACGCCAAATCCGCGCCGAGGCCGCATCGAGCCTGCGTCGGGCACAAGAGAAGACACCAACTTGTGGGACAGGCGAGGCCCCCCGAAGATGCAGCATAATCTCTATTGAGCCCCGACCTGACCCCCGCTTGCACTCCCAGAGATCCGACCTCGTGATTGTTCGGTGCGGGGTCCCCGGAAACCTCGACCCACTCCCAAAACCCGAAACCAGCTTTGCATCCCGACTCGTTTTTGGTACGGCCCCGAGGCCCGGCGGGGGCCGGCAAAGGCCGAACACTGCGAGAAACCTCCGCCCCGATCTTTTCAATACAGGGCAATTTTTAATACATGGGATTTTTTTTAACATACATGATTCTTACTACATGATTAAGGTATGAATGCATTTACGCATGAACTCACCGTTGTTTTTAATGCTACATCCCTGCATCTTTAATGCATGATCCACACGCGGAACATGTACTAAAAACGGCACTGTACGCTGGACCTCTGGGCTGACCCCTGTCTTGCGCCCCGACTCCTCCTCCTCCTCCTCCTCCTCCTCCTCTCCTCCTCCTCCTCCTCCCTCTCCTCCTCCTCCCCCTCCTCCTTCCTCCTCCTCCCTCCTCCTCCTCCTCCTCCTCCGCCCTCCTCCTCCTCTCCTCCTCCTCCTCCTCCTCCTCCTCCTCCTCCTCCTCCTCCTCCTCCTCCTCCTCCTCCTCATCCTCCTCCTCCTCCTCCTCCTCCTCCTCTCCTCCTCCTTCCCCTTTCCTCCTCCTCCCCTCTGCGTGTACCCCCCGGGCAGGGAGAAAAAAAGGCCCAGCCCTAGCCCAGCGCCGGCGCCGCCCGCGGCGCCACCCGCGCCGGCGCCGCCCACGCCAGCGGCGGAGCGCCGGCGAGGGCCGGCGAGGGCGCTCGGCCCGCCATGGCTCCGAGGCGCGCGCGGCAGGCCGGCCGCGTCGCGAGCTGCAGGGCGCCCCTTGAGCGACGATCCTCGGAACGCCCTGGTCTCCAGACCCCCTCGAGTCATGAAAAAATCACGACGGGAGGTTTTTCTCTATTTTTTCGGCCTCGGGGGGCCCCTGCCGGGCCCCAGGGCCGTCAAAAAACGACTCGGGATCAAAAGCCGGTCCCGGGGGATGGGTCCAGGCCTCTTGGGGTCCAGGCCTCTTGGGGT